GCCAGTAAGCAAGTGTCTGGTGTCTAACGAGCTGCTAGGCTCACACAAAGCACCTTCTCCAATGGTTTTCAGCATAGCTGTGATGTTTGCACTCACACAAGCACAAGTATGGACATGCACACAGATACCGCACGCTTAATACGTACAACCCTGCAAGCAAGCACACCTCCAGTAAGAGCAGGTGGCCTTTCTATACACACCAAACCCTCTCACCCTTCCCACCTTCTGAGCTGGAGTGCTAGCACAGCTGGACCCGCAGAGTGACCTCCCCGCACCCAGCCCCTCTGGTGCAGCTGAGCAGAGATTCGCCGTTTGAAGTAGCCGGTGCTTGGCGATGCACGCCTTCTCGCCTTCTTCTGGCAGTAGGGCCTGCCCAGCCCTTCCACCTGGGATTTACGCAAATATAATGGCTTTAGTCACACACTGTCTGGCAGATACCCCACAGTCCAGCCAGCCAGCCTGCTCTGCTATTTTATTCCCAACACAACGGTGGGAATACACAACACTTTGTATCTCCAGAAGAGGGAGTTTGTGCTTCATCCTTTTCTCCATCTGCACAGCTTTAAACATAATGGAAAAATTCAAGAGCTGCTTTCTTTTCTTATTCATCAGAGCAGCCACTCCTCCTTTCCCTGGACACGTTCAAAGCAATGACCGGGCTTGTGATTTGTATCAGGAGACAAAGTGAAAATGGAGCTTTTTTTTTCTAAGCAGCACCTATGGTATTAACCCAGGCCTGACCACTTCATGTATACTCAGCTGGTCACCAAAGGAGACAAGAGGCTGGGATGAAGGCTAGGGGAAGCCAAGCAGAAGAGCAGTGGAAATACAGACGACACAATTTGAAGTGCTCCTGACAGGAATAAGTGGTGGTGCACATCTGCATTCATACTGCTTGGGTCCAGGCAGGGATGTATTTGAACTCATCCAAACCTCAAAGCTGATCTTGGAGTTCCAGACACATAATAACCATAACAGAGCACAGTATGATTTTTTGGATGCTATATAATGCTTGGTGAAGATCTGAGAAGCGCCTCAGATGTGCAAGTGGGCATAAAGGTGTGAGGAATTGGTATAGGGTGCCAGCCTGGACCACTGTCACAGGGTGAGTGCTCAATGGCTCAAAGTCTACCTGGAGGCCGGCTCAAACATCTGCTCCTCAGTCTTGGCAGTAAGTACCGAAACGAGGGCAGTCTCAGAGCTCATGTGGTGGCACAGAGGCAGAAGCCAGAGTTGAGCCATATGGACCTGGTCATGATGCCCATGGGAGGACTCCCATCCCCAGAGCTGGAGAAAGTCATCATACGTCACTCAAGCAAGGATTGTTGGAATTACCCAAGGGCTCAAAGAAGCAGCAACAGTGGCACTGCGCAGGCATGGGTCCTGTCTGAGACACTAGCGGCATCGGGGATGTCGGTTGGAGCTTTTCTGTACCACCCTCAGCAGTGACACAATGGCAATGGAGGTCCTCGGTGAAGGCAGTGAAGTCCAAATGGGCAAGGAAAAGAGTCTACAGGAGGAAGAACTGAGCATGAGTTCAACAAGGGGCAACTGAGAGGAACTGAAATGGCCACAAATACAGTCCCTCCTGCATGCCACACAGTCACGGGGGAAAAGAGACGAGAGGGATCCTCTCCCTCCTGCAGAGCATGGGAATACCCAGTGCAGGGATGGGCAGGTGGACCAGCTACCAGCATCTTCCAGCTCCTTCAGCTGCGACATCTTCCTCGAGAACAAATCTCAGGACGCAAAGGCAGGTTGCAGTGCAAAAGGAACAGAACCCCAGAGCAGCTCCAATTCATGGCAAATGGAGCCGTAAGGTGAGGAGTTGGGTCCTCCAGCGTCTGCCCTGATGTGTGGTCGGATTTTGTCTTCTAGCTGGAGATCACCACATCAGGGATCTTGGATTCTGGCTGAACAGTGGGGACAGCAGGTGGTCCAAAGTAACTCAAGTATTGTGCTGGCAATAGGAACCTTCTAGAAAAAGCTTCCTGTGGTGGAAACACTGAATTTGTCAGACTTAACCACTGCGAAGCTTTCACACTGTGTATCTCGATGCAGCAAGACTTTCTTCAGCTCCATTACCTGCCTTCCCTTCTCTTGATAAAATCCTCACCTTCCACGTGAAGAGCCAATGCGAGAGCCAAGGTCAGTATGCTCCAGCTCTCCCCGACTGAACTAGGCGCTCCTGGGATGGTCCCATTCAAGCCAGTTTGAGCCCTACAGGCACTCATGGCTGGCCCCTCTCGCCCGACACCGTCTCCTTTCCCAGTGAGGCTGCTGGGGTCCAGTTCTGCCCACCTGCCTGGACAGTCTCCAAGCCCTCCATGGCTTCCCAGCACCAAAAGGCTTGGCAGTAGGAGTTACCCAGGACTTGGTGCTCTCAGATCATCTGGACTTTGCAGACATTGACTGCTCTTGCAAAAACAAAGCAGCCCGCAAGGCTGTGAGCATCAGCTGCCCCTTCCCCAGAGCGGGGCACGGCCACCTGCCCTCTGTGCAGGGACGAGGTGTCCTGAGCCACCAGAACCTCCCTGTGCAGCAAACAGAGCTCACCTGAGAGGCACCCATCAGCACAGAGGGCTCAGCAGTCTTCCAGGGAAAGAAAATATATCCAGGTCTCCCTACACTTTTTTTTTTTTTAATTTAGTAGAAGCAGTTTCAAAGGCTGCTTTTCTGCTGCACAGCTGCCTCCACCTGGAAGCCAGGTATTTCAACAGCTTTTAATGCATCTTCCCATTCATGTCTGGCCTTACAAAATGAAAATACCAAGGTCACAGTCGCATCCTAGTTTTATTACAACTGACCTGCAGGCAAAAGGAGCAAAAGGATAGAACTATTACATAAACACTCTGATCCAAGTATAGTATCTTAAATAGAGGAGGAAGTCAAACCAGGATACCGGATAAAGTATTCTGAAGCTCTGTGAAGCAGTTACGTTCCTGAGCTCCATTTTACAGACAATAAGGCAACATCCCTGCACATCAGCTTTTTGATAATTTTTATACATTTTTCTATGGTACAAGAGAAAAAAATAACCGGAGTTCACAATGTACAGTTCTTACACTATTTTCACAGCTTCTGAACGCTATACACCTTTTTCTTTCTTTTTTAATAAAGATACATTGCAATAAATGGTTCACCCTTAATAGTTTATAATGATCTATGTTTAATACACTAAACCTGTCCTTCTGTACAGACACCCATACCACAGCACCTCAACCCTGACCTTGTCACTGGCAGCTCAAAGCTTCACGTTTCCATTTCCCATCCGTTGAAAGCAAACCGGTCGCGCTGCTAAAGACAAGCTCCGGACGGCGTCGGCAGCAGAGGATGAACCCCAGCTGTGCCCAAAGTGTAGTCGCTTTCGTTGGAGGGAAACAGATTTTTGGGAGGACCCATCTCAGCGTCAGCCCCTTGAAAGGTTTGTGGGCTCCCTGTCACGGGGAGCTGTGACCCAGACTTTAATGTCCGAAATGGGGGCAGAGGCAGAGCATCCCTGCACGCATCCGTCTTTACTGGCTCTGCGTCTGGCCGGCCCCCCAGCCAGCCCCCCGCCGGACGCAGCGCGCCCGCCGTCCCGTCACGGGTGACTGAAGGCCGGTGAGATGAATCACAGCTGCGGGGATTTGCCAAGCCTGAGAAAAGCGGAGTTTTCTGAGGCTACAGGGCTGGGGGGAGAATTACCGCTTTAGATACGCTATGCGTCTTGTTCAACTGATCCTTCCACGTGACTGAGCTGCTGGGAATGACTAGTTAGTTCAGAACGCTCTGCCTGGTCCGTTTGGGGAAGACTTCAGTGACTTCCTCGCCTGAGGAGCAGCCCCGGAGGAAGACAATCCAGGAAAGGCAGGAGGACTGCACCTCCCTGCCCGGCCGTGCCCGGGGGGTCACATCGGCACCAGCCTCGGTGCCAGCTCCGACAGCCGAGCCGGCGACGCGCAGCGCTGCAAGCCTTGTGCAAGGGTGTCACCTCAGCGGCTGGAGAAGCACCAGGCATCCACACGAGCACGGCCTTGGCTCTCCTTTCCCAGCCGAGCAGCTGGGGCAGGGATGGGCTGGTCTCCAGTGCTCCCGCATCAGCCCAGTTTGCTCTTGGTAGCATTGGTTTGATTCCTTGGGAATCCTGCCAGTACCGCTGCGTTTTCACTCCCATTGTGTCTCTACGCCTCTGCCTCCTGGGTCCAGTTTTGCCGCAGAGCTTTGACAGTAGGTTGCTCTAACAGTGATGAAGTCCTACCAAGTGCCTAAACTAGACAATTCAAAATGGAAATCAGAGACCCTGCAGCCTCCATTGTATCCCTGATGTGCTTCTAAATGCCTGAGAACGGCAATGTTTGGGGAAAAAAAGTGTTTTCAGGAACAATTAATCTTTGAGAAATGTGCCAATTTAAAAAAAAAAAACAGACTGATTCACTTCTTTGCTCAGCAGAGGGCTGGAAGATGACAGCTTGCCTGCCCTTGCTGGGTCAGCTAAAAGCCCACGAGGTGTTAAGATGCTCCCTCATCTCCACCTCATCTCTATCTGCACCAAACAATCTCGGTGAGGTTCGCTCGAGGGTGCAGTAACAAGAGCTACAGAGGGTCACAGAAGAGGTTAAATACGCCCGGAAGGTGGTGAAGAAGGTCTCCAGCAAGCTAAGCAGAGCGTGACATTTGCAGCGGCAGGGCGGGCACGGAGCCCCAGTGCGGCGGGCGGCCATCCCCACCATCCCGCTTGCAGTGGCAAGAAGGAAGCGCTGAGATTTGGTCTTGTCAGGGGCAGTGGGCTGCCTGGTGGCAGCACTGCTGGGCTGGTCCTGGGGTCAGTGAAAAGGCGCTAGCATCAGGCTGGGGCCAGTTCCCAGGGCTGGGAACACGAGAAACACTGGCTAGAAATCACAGGCGTTCGTTTGTGGATCATTAAAACAGCTGCAGGCTTTATGAACGGCACTGTCGAAGTCAAAGCAAAGCCAGCTGGTGGTGAGCGCTGGGCAGCTATAAATCAGGTCACAAGCAGGTTAAATTCAATCGAGTAGTTTAATAATTCTTCAGGTCAAAGGTCTTATCTTACCAGGTAACAATTTACAGGACACCTAGTTAAGAGTGGCTGGCTTGGTAAAAGGAGAAAGAATACATTATGTCCCATCTCTGAATAGTTTAATGTTAGCCTCTTTCAACGCAACATATTTTTGGTAAAGACATATTCACTATATTTAACATGATCTCTCTTTAACAGGAAGTTCAGCTGAGCACACTGTCCCCAGAAAAGTACACTGCGACTGTAAAGCAACAGAATTTCATAGCAGTAAATCTATTGCACTTTGTGAAGAATAAAATTCTCCTTTGCCTTTCTAGCTCCAGAAGGCAAAGCATCTCGTTGGTTAAGCAAGTTCTTCTCCCTCCAGGCAAAGTCTCTTAATGTTCAGACAGACAACGCCTAACTTTTGTTTGTTTGCTTTTTATTATTACTTGAAACAACAATTGGAAGAGTTTGAGAGAAAAATCTTTCCAGTAGCTGCTGAGAAGTCTCCAAGTTTTGAGTCTAGAAATGAATTTTTAGGTGCTATCCAATCACGGTCAACAAATAAATGTACTTATTCCCACATTTCATGAATATGTCCACAAAAGAGCAAGATGAGGTCTCTCTTTGACCAACACTAACACTGTGTGATCAGGTTTTACAGGGATGCACTTTATATGTGACAACAGTATACAGACAGGATGGAAATAACACCAATATTATTGCACATGGTGTCTGGGCGAGCATTAAAAACACTGCAATATGTGATGAAAATTCTTTACAGCTTGTTTTCTCTCAGCCCTTTTTCTAGAGTTTGATGTAGCAGCAATATCAATCGACGTACATTGGAGAGCTGGGAGTTGCTGGCATTTGATCCAGGATTTTACAAACATAGCATGCAACATCCACTGTGCGTTCCTCGTACATCAGGATGAAGGGATGTTTCTGGAATCAGATAAAAAAACAAGGTTAGGTTCTCCCTTCTGGCACATGCTGGCTACCCCAGATAAAAGCTTAGCGTATGGATTTGCCTGATGCAAGAACACAGGGCTGGATGGTGGCTGTAGGACAACAGGACATGGCTTTTACATACAGGGGATGCATATCTTAAATGTGCAGTATGGAGGTGGGACAGGACTCCAGGAGTGTCAGGAACTGCTGGGCAGGAGGCACTGAGGGTGGAGCATTAGCAGCACCTGGCTCCTTTGTGGCATGGACACGTCCTGAAACACTTTCAAGAAAGGCTTCATCATGAGCCTTGTCAGCAGTGGGGAGACAGGAGTAACAGGGAGACATGGCTTGCAGGGGTCAAACAGGAGATCAGGACCCAAACCCAGTTCTCCTGAACTCCGACTCTCTGCTCTGCCCAGGAGGCCGTACTGGCCGGACCCAACTTGGAGCAGCTGGAAAGTTACACCACAGTGACTCTCTGGGCCAGGACACCAGGCAAACTCCTTTTGTATCACACCACCACCTTCAGGGGCCCAGGGCATGGTTTCACACATCCCCTGAAGAGGTGGCTTCCAGATGCCCAGAGCTCCTTGAAGGTGCATGGTTGCCAGGTGTGATTTACCCAACCCAAAAGCATTGCTGCATTCCCTCCTTTAGGACTCCCCACCACAGACAGGTTCTGCTGGTGTCTTGCTCCAGAGCCGTGCTCTTCCCAGACTCGCTTTTGCCTGAGCACTCCCAACCTTGTCGTGTGGCCCGTGTGTTGGAGGCATTTACATGTGACAGCGCTGGCCAGCAATTCGACAGGGCTCTGGCACGATACCAGGACCTCAAGCAAAGGCACCATTTACATGGCACACCCAGTGTGCTTCTGCCTGAGCCTGCCCGCTTCAGGGATCACCGACCCCCTGCAACGGGGCATTTCCCCCCACGCTGATCTCCTGTGTCTGCTTAGACACTGATGATCTTGGCCATCGCCATGACTGCAGGCCAGAGCTGGGGGCATGGAGGTGGTGCCTCTCCTCAGGCTGTGGAGCTGAACACCCTGCCTTGATGGCCCGAGAAGACAAGAAGCAACCTTGGCCGTGTGGCCCAGCCCTGCTGTGTGACCAGCAGCGCCGTGACAGCGGGCGCAGGCAGCCATGCTTTGCACTCACCAGAAGCTCTTTATACTTTGGCCTTTTGGACTCGTCCTTTGTAAGGCTAAAGAAAGCAGAAAGAGAATTAGAAGGTGGAATTCAGGAAATTGTTACAGACATCAAATGCAAATTTTTAAAGGACACAATGTTCAATCCACTGCTGTCAGAGTGAGACTTACTGCCTTTCGCTTTCTGGAAGAACCATCTTTGTGCTGTGTGTGACCACAGGGACTCCTTCCCTCCCCACCTGGGTAGCCACCAAAAAGTGCTGCTGGGGACGGTGCCCAAGGGTGCTGCAAGTGGAACGCCATCCTGACTGCTGCTGCCTCCGCATGGAAACGGGTTTGACTGCAGCATAACCACAAGTTTTGGGCAGCAGCAACTGGCCTGTCCTCCACCCATCAGACAGCGGGGCTGAGAGGCACAGGAGAGCCAGCGCTGCCTGCCAGGGCACAGACAGGGGACACAGGCAACACACCCTCATCTTGGCACACGTGGGCAGGGGCCAGGGCTGTAGCAAACAGATGAACCGCAAGTGGGGCAAGAGGGGCCGGCTGGAAAGCGTTCCCTCCCGCAGGGCTCCTCTGGCACCTCAACCGGCCGCCAAGCCGCAGCGCAGCGGGACGGCAGGCCGCAGCAAAAGCCACCAAAGCCCCACAGCTGGGGGACATGGTGGGGCACAGGAGAGATGATGGGGACCAGAGCCAGCATGGCTGTGCGACAGGGCTCAGTGATGGGTGGCACTGGCAGCCCCTGCCCTGGCAGCCAGGGGTAGCATCTTTCCCAAACGAGGAGAGTAAAGTCTAATTCCCTGCCGCTGCATTTCCATCCCCACAGGCTCTGTCTGGACCTTCCTCAAGCTCCAGCACTCCTCAGCATGGCCTCGAATTATTTGGAGCAGCAGAGGGTAATTAACGCTGCCCGCCCGGCGCTGCTCTGTCCTGCGACCTGCCGCAGAGCTGTGCAGCGGCAGAGAGGGCAGGAAACCCCGCGGCTGCTGCACAAACATCCTCGCTTCGGGCTTTTGCTACCCAGCTGCAATTCCTTTTCTGACCTCAGCAAGTCTGGAGGTTCGAATATACTCCTCACACCACCTTTAAGGCAACTACTCAGAACTTCAAGCTCACAGACCAAGTTTTGCTCTGAAATTTCCATGCACGCTTTCATAAAGCAGCCCTAGAAATCTTCCATTTCTTTTCCAACTTGCCATGAAGCTGAGTGTCTGTAGTGGCCATGTGCAGCACCAGGTGCCGTACAGCTCCTTCACAGGAACATCTGATCTCCTGCCCAGGCACACCGGACCTCAGGAGTTTGCGGCTCTGCCTGCGAGCAGCATGAGGCTCCCAAAAGCCAGACACAGAGCTTGGATACTTTGCAAACTCTGGAGCAGAAATTTTTTTTAATCCGTTCCAGGAGGAGTGTGACTTCAGACAAGCATCTAACACGGGGAGGTGGGCTGAGACATTCAAGGCATTCACAGCACCGCTGGGATCCCAGGCAAATTGGAAAAAAAAAAAAAAATTCCCAGAAACTACTTAATATTATCTAAAATATCCTTTCCTCAATTGATCTATCACGGCGATCAGGCAGCAACACTGCAGGACTCTCTTTCAACGTTTTTCCTGACTCTTGAGTGCATAAAAATAGAAGATTATTAGATTCCCATTTGTAGGGTAATGTCCAGGAGATTTATGCCATCACCTAAAAGCACAGCCTTTTGGAGACTCACCTGCTTGCTTAATAACACCAAAGATTACTGTTTGCACGTAACTAAAGGTTATTAAGATAAATATTTATTACAGTGTTGCTATGAAGACATCATAAATATTCCATCAGAAGTCAGACTATTTACAAAACCAGATTAAACAAAACCCAGAATTAGACTGAAAACTGCCCCGTGCTCTATGCATTGTGGTTTTTTAGCAGGCCCTGGGAGGGGTATATGGGCTGGAAATACAAATGGACCCAACCAGACCCACAGGCCAAAGATGCTGCCGTTTAGCAGAGATGCCACGCAGGCTCCTCTGTGGGGTGATCTGGAGCCAAGCTCACCAGCGCATACAGGGCAGGAGAGCAAGCTCCTGGCTTTGCAAGCTCTGTAATGATACGACACCTCTACAAAGACTATGTGGGAAACAAACTATTGCTTGTACACATGGGGAAAGCAACTGTGACTTTCTAACCAAATACTACACGTTGTTTTGGACTGAAAAATGGAAACTTCTTTTGAACAGCAGACCGTTTTGATGCTCTGTTTTCTGCAGCCCAAAGACAATAACCTGGTCTCCATAAAAACTCGTAATTCTGAGAGTAAAATACAAACCCCAAAACTATCTCCACGGATGGAAAATCCTAAAACAAAACCTCCTGAAAGTTAAAATTGTCTAAAGCTGAGTCTCCCTGTCTCACAGAGCTCTAGGATGGACACCCCAGTGCTGGGGATGTCCATCACCTGGGTCTGCCCAGGGCAGAAGGTCCCAGAAAACAAACGCAGGTCACACTGATGTGTCTTCATGCTGTGTGCTTTGGTATTAGGTTAACAAAATTATGTTGACCATCTTTCACATTTTGATAGAAAAATACTTCATCAGAAAATTCACAGTCAGCCCTTAACCTATAGGACCGCAGACACGTGGCAGGTAGATGGACTGCCCCAAGCCTGTCCTGTGCAAACACTGCGCACTCTCCATCCAAGGCTGACCTGCAGAGGCCCTGCCCTACAGAAAACCAACGTTAGTCTTGATCTTGACATATGATTGACACAAGATATGAAGCCAACAACCAAGCAAGCCACCCGCTACAGGTCCTGGCAGTCACTGTGCTGAGCAGCACTGGGCGGGAAGGCTCCTTGCCTTGTCAAGCAAAAGGCAGGACCAGTACAGATCCTCTGCCCCACAATGAGACAATACTGCCAGGTGTCTCACGCTTCTGCCTGCAGAGGAAAGGGCAAACGGCAGGTCTGTCCCAAGGCTGTGTCACACCAGGGAGCAGGATGCACACACCACCAGGCCCCTACCTGGTCACACCGACCTCCTGCCACGGGTCTTATGACTTTCCTGAGCACAGACCCTCAGAGGTTTTCTCCTCATCCCTTCCCTGACGAGCAGTGTCGAAAGGTCTGCCCTTCAGCCCCCACCCAGACAAGTCTCCCATCACCTCCAAACCAGTGAAATGTGAAAGGTCCTCACCCTCACATTGGCGCAGGAATGTGAAACTAAGCTACGAAGTGCCTGGCATGCGACCTTTCCCAAATACCTAGCAATGACAAAACAAGCCAACTCCAAGTGCTTTCAGTAAGAAACACTTACCACAAGTTGACAAAGTTGATGAAACTTGGGGAGAACTCCCTTTCCTCTGAGTTACTCAGCTGTGGTGGGTCTCCTTTCACTACTTGTGTCAACTGGTCAAACACACTGTTCCACTTGGGGTAGGGGAATCGCCCTGTGGCCAGCTCATACTGCAGAGAAGACAGCAACAGCACCAGACAGGTTACACAAGGTAAGTTCAATCAGGGTAAGAAAATGTCTGCAAAGACCCTAAATGCCCCAAAAGGAAGACTAAAATGAGATTCTTCATCCCACTCCCTATACGAAGCTCAGCTGAGAGAAGAGCACGTCCAGATTTCACCTGGCTATGGCATGCTTTCATGTTGACAATGTCTTCTCCTCCACTGATTATAAAATCAACCAATGCTCTTACTAAGGTATTCAAACATAGGAGAGTAAAATCCTCCAGTCCCTTCCCAAGCATCCTAACAACCACTAGAGAAAATGGATAATGAGAATCGCACAATCATAGAATATCTCAAGTTGGAAGGGACCCACAAAGATCATCAAGTCCAACACCCTGCTCCTCACAGGACAATGAAAATGAGCATTTTAAAACATCAGTGGGGAAGACAAAAGCTACTGGTTCATACTTATTGCTTCTGCTTTCTCTTCTACTTCACTACCTCAAGAAGAGATCTTTTCAATCCATCAATGTGTGCACCCAGTAGTGCTGTGGTTAAGCCAGAGAGGAATAAGCAACCGGAATCCAGAATTAACTGAAGTCTTCTGCACAGCGAAAGTAGACCAGATGCCAGGGCTGTGAGAGGCTTATTTACACAGGCTGGATGCTCTTGTTCTGCACCACCACACTCACCATCCCTCCTCATCTGAGATTTTGAAAACAAAATTCATTTATGATCCAACACTTCTTCCCTGCTCACAACTCTTCCTCTGCAAATCACAGCTGCAGCTAAATGTATCCTCAGGGGTTCAGGAGAGCCATCTGCCTTGAAGGGATTTCTATTGTTTCTGGGCCAGGAGGTGCCCACTTCAATCACAACACGCAAATGCTTCACAGCAGTGGAGCTGGGCTTTGCTTCAAGCACATGTTTGACACCAGCAAACTCCATCATACTGCAAAGCGCACCAAGGCTACCCGCCAGGGAAGTACCGCGCAGCAGAGGGTTTAAACCCCACTCACTTACCAATGTAATTCCCAAGCTCCAGACATCTGAGCGGACATCATAGCCTTGCCTGGATGCGCTGGGATCTATCCTTTCAGGCTGAAACAGGAAGAAGGACCAGTCAAACACTGTGCCATGCAGGAAGGAATGAGAAGCATCTGAAAATTCAGAAAAAACTTGAAGTTCATCCTGCCAGGCAGAGCCTGGCACAGCTCTAGAGGCAAACTTATTGCTAAGGCAGATGTCCAACCCCAGCAGAGAAAAATCTTAAGGAATCAAACACTGATTTTATGGATGTATAGAGTAAAAGATGATCTGTAATGGCAATTCATCAGAGTCCAATCCTCTTTTTTTTCCTTTTGTACAACCAGCTTCAATAATTATTACTGTCTATTTATTTAACTTCGGGCTCTCTTTAACACAAAGTCCTGCTTTCTCTGTTTTCATAGTGTACAGTTGTCCCTAGGGACTCATAACTTCCCTATTTAACTTCCTAAGTCAGGTAATAGACAGCCCTACTAGAGCAGATGCCATACTGGACCTGTTGGTCACCAGTGCAAGGGACCTAATATTGGTGAGATCAAGACTGGAGGCAGCCTGGGCTGCAGTGATCATGCACTGGCGAAGTTTGCAGTCCTGAGGGATATGGAGCAGGCAAAGAGTGAATTCAGGACCCTGAAGTTTAGGAAAGCAAAATTCCAGCTCTTCAAGGAGTTAGTCAACAGGACTCCCTGGGAAGCTGCCCTCAGGGGCAAAGGAGCAGAACAGAGCTGGCAGAAGATTAAGGACACTTTCCATAGACCGCAAGAGCTCTCGATCCCCAAGTGTAAGAAATCATGAAAGGAAGGCAAGAGACCAGCATGCTGAGTGGAGACCTGTGGGGCAAACTAAAGGGCAAGAAGGAACTGCACAGGCAGGGGAAGCAGGGACAAGGATCCTGGGATGAGTACAGGGATGCTGCCCAGTTGTGGAGGGATGGGGTCAGGAAGGCCAAGGCGCAGCTTGAGGTGAACTTGGCAAGCGTTGCAAAGAATAATCAGAAGGGCTTCTGACAGGTATGTCAGCCAGAAAAGGAAGGTCAGAGAAAGCGAACCGGCCTTGATGAGCAAGACTGTCAAACTGGTAACAACAGATGAGCAGAAGGCTGAGGTACCCAACGACTTGGGCAGTCTCTCTCCCCACACCTCTCGAGGGGATGGACTGCAAGACGGCGACTGGAGGAGCAAAGTCCCTCCCACTGTAAGAGAAGATCAGGTTCAAGACCACTTGAGGAACCCGAACACGCACAAGTCTACAGGACCTGACAAGATGCATCCCGGAGTCCTGAGGGAATTGGCTGATGTAGTTGCCAAGCCACTCTCCATCATATCTGAAAAGTCCTGGCAGTCAGGTGAAGTCCCTGCAGACTGGAAAAAGGGAAACATTGCATCCACTTTTAAAAAAGGGTAGCAAGGAGGACCCTTGCCTCACCGACCCATCAGCCTCACCTCTGTGCCTGGGAAGATCATGGAACAGATCCTCCTAGGAGCTGTGCTAAGGCATATGGAGGGCAGGGAGGTGATTCGAGACAGCCAGCATGGCTTCACCAAGGGCAAGTCCTGCCTGACCAACTGAGTGGCCTTCTGTGATGGAATGACCACATCAGTGGACAAGGGAAGAGCTACCGGTGTCGTCTGTCTGGACTTCTGTAAGGCCTTTGACACTGTCCCCCCCCCCAACATCCTTCACACTAAATTGGAGAGAGAGGGATGTGATAGGTGGACTGTTGGGTGGATGA